TGACAAAAAATTAAAAAAGGAGAAAGATCACAAGATTATCCTAGAGTGGTGAAAATCATAGAATAAATCTGGATTTAATGTAATACTTACCATACATTTTTTTTCATTTTAATAGGAATTTCCAGCTATGCCAAGTAGTTAAAAACACACAAATAACTGTAAGGCTTATTAAAGTCTTATTTTCGATATTATTTTTATATTTTTTTATTTAATTTTTTTATGTATGTACATTGTATACTTTCAAAAAAATAGGGGAAATATTTTCTTATTTCAAATCTTTTGCATAGTAAATTGAAAATATCTCTATTGAGTTAAATTGAAATGATAGTATATTAAAGACTAACACAGTCTAGTCTCATACTTCGGTTTAACTAATCAACTATATTTGAGGTGCTGTTCAATATTTAAAAATAGTTTGAGCAACTGAATTATCCTATTATATAGAAGGATATTGGAAAGTCATTAGTGAATACATAATGTGATTAAAAGCAACAAATTTGAATTAAGGAGTTTAGAGTTGTAGTATGAAAAATTACAAAATATTCGTGAAAATTACCCGAGGAATCTGAATAAGCTTGCCAATAGAAAAGAGCTCAATACTCGTCATTGTTTGGAGAAACTAATTTTCACGAATCTTTAATAAGGATATTTTTTTACTTCTATCTAAAAAACAATGTGTTAAGTTATATTTCTGAGATTAATTCCTAATAGAAAACAAACACTTCACTTCGAGTTTGTTCCGGACAACGTAGCATTGCTAATGAATAACAACATTAACATAGTTAAACGTAATTAAATCAGTCATGCTGCAATTGTGTTTTGTTGGAGATCAAAGATATCAATTAGGGAATTCCTTTATTTTGTTGAAACCACGAAATATCATGCGGATTATTTTATTTGTTTATCGCTATTGCTTCATTTCCATGAAAATATTTGCTTTTGTTACATTTAATTATATTAAGTAATGAAGTGTCTACTCAATTTGTGTTCATAAGTACAAAATAGTTGTTAAATACTAAAACAATACTGATGTTGTTGCTGAGTCCTATCTAAATTTAAATGTAATTGTTGTTAAATACTATGGCAATACAAGTGGTTGCTGAGTTCTATCAAAATTTAAATGTAATTGTTGTTAAATACTATGGCAATGACAAGATGTTGCTGAGTCCTGTCAAAGTTTAAAAATAATTGTTTATAAATAGATGAATCAAGTTTTAAATGTAATTGTTGTTAAATACTATGACAATACAAGATGTTACTGAGTCCTAATAAAATTTAAATGTAATTGTTGTTACATATTATGGCAATACAAGACGATGCTGAGTCCTAATAAAATTTTAATATATTTTCTGTTAAATAGGTGTTGTTCAATTAAAATTTAAATGTAATTTTTGTTAAATACTATGGCAATACAAGATGTTGCTGAGTCCTAATAAAATTTTAATATATTTTTTGTTAAATACTATGACAATACAAGATATTGTGGAGTCCTATTAAAATTTTAATGAAATTGTTGTTAAATAGGTGTTGCTGAATTATAATTTAAATGTAATTGTTGTTAAATACTATGGCAATACGAGTAATTGATTAGTCCTATCAAAATTTCAAGGTTGTTACCTTAAAATAACAAACAAGAGCTTTAATTTAGATGAAGTCTAACAAAATGTTTTGTTTTTATGCTTCTCTTTATTTTAGACGCAGCAACGGTTGGCAGTTTTAGACCTAGATTTTATTACTTAAACTGTTAAAATGCCTTAGAAATTGCAATATTTCTGTAATTTCTATAAAATTATTGGTCATACTTCAGGATATAAATAATAAATTAGATTCCACTTCTGAGGAAATGGGTGCCGGGGCGCTATCCCGTACATGTGCTAGAGTTACTGCGCAGTCGCAGTTTAGCACAGCTGTCCAATATTATCCAGAGATTTTCTTTCTATACTTAGATTGCGAATAAAATATCTATTTTAGAGAAAGTTGATTTATAATGATTTTGACCTGCACTCCATTCGAATACCAATTTTAAATATATTATTTGTTAAAATCGTTTCAATTGTTATATCTCCAGAAAGCAATGGGTTCTCTGGCCGCAACAAATATTCAGTGCAGTGCAAGTTCCTTACTGGGTGTAAGGAATTTGCCGCAAGTACTTCAAAAAGAAAGAAAGAAAAACAGTTGTATAAGTTACCGATAGAGAGAAAACGGGGGCTTCAAATATAATATTAGAAAACACTTCGTTGACAAAGTAATTTTTGTAGCTAATAAACTAACTAAACTGTTTGGAACTAAAGTAACTGAAATAGCCATGTTAGAATTGTATTTTGTTAGAGATATCAATTAAAAAATTCTTTTTTTGCTAAAATTGCAAATTATCAAGGAGATTATTTTATCGTATTTTCGAACACTTCATTTCAATAAAAATGTTATCTTTTTAATTTGTTATATTTAATACTGTGACCAATAAAGTTCCAACTCTAATGTATTTCCACAAACACAAAGTTGTTGCTGAAATATTACAATGTTCTAGCAATTAATCTTGTCATTACTATGTTTTTTACAATTTATTAAACAATAATAAATAACTAATTGCATCACTTATGCATTTACAAAAATTCAAAATCAGGTTTTTTTCTGCTGCGATAATTTACTGTAGAAAAAGAAAAAAAAATATTTGTGATGGTGTTTCTAATTTAATGTTTAAAAACTTGGATTTTGAAAATATTTATTCGACGAAAAAAACGTCCTTTATAAATATTTTTTTTATATAAGAGCAAGATTACTAAGATATATATGATTTCATTAAATGATATCTTAATAAATAGCGAAAACATACAAAAGAGAAGTTCAATTATTTATTTTCTGAAAGCTTGAAAGACTGGCGTATCTTAGTTTTTTCAATAAACATTGGATAACTGCAAAGTTAAAAATGAAACTGTGAAAGAAGTACGCATTTCAGTTTCATATGACAAAGAAAGTGACAAGTTCCACAATTGATTAATTAGAGTCCATTAATATTTTTATTCTCTTTTGGCTTTTCATTTGCAACCTCTGGTACAACTATTTTCCTTTTTAACAAAGATTACAAAACGACAAATTCGGAGCTACTTTCTTTTTAAAGATAATCCAAAGAATGTTGTTTATTTTCTCCGTTTATTAATTGGATTCACCCTCCAAGATTTTAATTATAATGTAAAATTGAAATAAATTTGATTAAATTAGCAAATTTTATTAGTATTTTTGTCCAGTGGATTTTGTTTCAAGACCAAAATATGAAGGAATACACTATAAAACATACAATAATTATTTTTTGGGAATAGCTAAGAAATAATTTTAAAAAAAGTTAATTAAATTTAACAAATCAATTTTTTAAAAAAAATATTCTATATTTTATTTATAAGTGTCCTTTCTTCTTAGCTACATATTTCTAAATAAATTATTTAAATATTGGGTCTCAGAAGGGAAATTAATATAAGAATAATAATTGCGTCAATATATGTTATTTGCTCAGCGTATGTTTTGTTCGGCAGCGCCATCTCTTATTAGTCTTCCGAGTTATTTATAAATAGTTAACGTGTTATTTCTTGTTTATATTCATCTATATATGTTAACTTGTTTAATCAGTTCTTTTTAATCACGTGTTTGGCGTGATTTGATCACGCTGATCACGTTATTGATATCAATTTAAATTATTAATTTAGTTAATTCAAAGTTATGTTCAAATTGCTTTCGTCTGTGATTTCGAATTCGTTATTTAACTAAAAAAATAAAAAATAAAAACATTTTATGGAATATAGAGGTGCTTACGGGCATGGCCCAGATACTGTTGTTTTCAGGGCATAAGGCAATTGTGTCGTATGCATTTTCTAGGTATTCCTTCATAGGTATATATTTCCAACACTTATGTTCTTTTAAACTTAAAAAAACTTTACTCATTATTTACGGTGTTTTATAAGAGTTAGGGACTCGGTATATAGTCGATATTCCCCTCAATTCGGCTATTTAATTTCAATTTAAGTTAGATTCTTTTGGAAGAAAGATAAGATCTCAGATATTTAAAATCGATTGATATTACTTTTACACTTACTCTAATCCACAAACAATGCACAGCCGGAAAACAAAGAATGTAGTATGAGCGAAAAAAAGACACTTTTAAACACTGGTGTAAACACTTTGAATAAATTTTGATGTAGTGATAGAATGTGCATGTTCTAGAGCTTAGTAATGTATGCGCCTAACTTTAACTATGCTAATTAAAGTATAATAGAGACGTAGTGGCAAATAGCATAGACGACTATACAGCAACCTAATGAAGTGACAAGTTCTAATCCCAGCGGTGGCTGGTTGATACGAATTCTGTGCCCTGCTTGCACCGACCACAATGGTTACGTAGAATATCCTCAGTTGTTGATGAATCACGGGTTAGAATCCCCTGGCCATCGAGTTTACTCTAGGAGATTTTCATGGTTTTTCTCTTTATGTGAAGCAAATGCGTGTTAGTTTCATTATATAGTGCTCCACGACGGTTAGTTTGTCGCAATGCTTGATCTAAGAGTCCCCTTTTGTCTTCCTGGTTGGACTCCTAATTAGATCGATAAGCTATAACTCAATATTGGTTCATCTCCTTAACGATGGTTATAAAATAAAATTAATGTTTGCGGATGATATTTTAAGTTGAGAAATTAAATATACGAACATCATTTCTCAGAATAAACATACCTGTTCTTTGACGGCAGATGTTTGGCCCACAAAACACTGTTCGCAAACTCTATATTTATCTATTTGGTTGAAAGTTAGGACTATTTTATGTTAATTTTACTTTTTGCTTATTTCACTATATTAAAGAGGTCAGATGTTTATGTTTTTATTTCTTAAAAACTAATCGCAGATTTTTTTTCTTTTTTTTTATTTCGAATTTTGTCATTTGAAACTACATAGATAAAAGTTGTGCAAAAATTTGTTGTTGTTGTTGTTGTTTCTAATCCCCAAGAGGTCCATCCTAATTAGACCAATTCCATAAGTCCAAAAATGTCCAGAAAGTCTAAAAACAGATGAGGTTTTGAAAAAACCTCGTCGATCTTAAAATCGATGCAGTTTAGAATATGCTCGGGCGAAGCCTGAGCAGTCTTACATTTAGTGCAAAGTCCAAAAGTCTTTTGCCCCTGATCATACGAGAGACACCTCAAATGACCACTTGCAAAGCGAGATAAGCATGTCTGCTGGCTTCTAGATCCCCCAAAAAGCAAGGCACTTCCAGGTCGTTTTCTGAAATACCAATTATGCGGAGGAGGAAGCCTCCAAAGGTCCATAAGCATTTTTTTGCACTCTGCAAAGACCTCATTGAAAGTGGAAGGTAAATCTGGCTGTAAAGGTTCTAAAGAAGCATCTTTAGCCAGTGAGTCCGCCATCTCGTTACCTTTGATTCCAACGTGTGATGGAATCCATTGGAAGTGTACCCCAAAGTCCGCTGAGAGCCTGAAGAGCATCCCCAAAATTGAAGCCGCAGCCCTGTCTCCAACATTCATCCAGTTGCTAAGGTGTTGGATTGAAGATTTGCTATCCGTCAGTATCCATATATGCTTAAAGTCAGGCTCAGCAATATTCTCAACATGTCTTAGGCCATTTTCAATCGCAATAAGCTCAGATCTGAAAACCGAGCAAAATTCAGAATTTCTAAATTTGAGACTCAATGTGTACGTGGGTGTTTTAATAAAAACCCCACTACCTGAATGACCTTCGTCGCTCTTGCTGCCATCTGTGTATAGTTGTAAAGCATCTGATGGTATTTGGCTAATAGTTTCAAGAGCCATTTGTCTCATAAATTCTGGGTTGTCTTTACTTTTATGGGCCGGGTACAACAGCTCCGTATGGAAATGGATACCAGAAAAATCAGTAACAGGGCTAAAACATGACCTCAAGGAATGAGGTTCAATTCGGCAGGGATATTGCAAGTCTACAAGGTGAATTGAAACAGCCAAAGAGAAGGGACTGTTTCTCTTCAGTCTATGGTTATTTTTCCAATTTTTGAGATAGTAAGAGGTTCTGTTCTGGTCACCAAAACTGATGAGCTTATTGTAGTATTTCTTGAGACTGGAGTTCCTTCTCATGTATAACGGTTGGAGGTCAGATTCAAACAGAACAATTTTATCTGGACAGCTACGCCTCAAACCTGTAATAATTTTTGCTGCACTAATTTGAACTTTTTCCAATCTATTCAGGGTTGGTAAAAATTTGTCCATTTTAAAATGGAATTTTTTTTAGCTGAATAGTAACAAAAATAAAATGTAACTATAATAAAACATTTTAAAAAATATTTCATTCATAATAAAAGGGAACTATTACTAATAAATCTCAAAATAAAATTTCAAAATATGGTTATATTGTTCTAAAAATAAAAAATAAATATTACCTAATTATTATATTTGTATTTAAGTTCGGTTATTCTTTTAGAAGAAATAACACAAGATCTTGAAAGTGTAAAAGTAATCAATCTTCCTGTGGTTGGTAAACGTTCTGAAAACGATTGCTGATGGTTTTAACAAAAAGACTTTTTTCATTCTTCATTGTTCTATTTTCTATGAAAATAATTAATGCTCCTGAGCAGTGTTGGCTGGAACAAGTTTGGAAAAACTTTAACCGAACTACTAATAGCAATTTATTTGAGAATACTTTAAGAGGAAAATTATTATCCACGAAAAAATCATATTTTAAAAAGAGAAATTTGGCTATTTAATAAAGCGTTTTCATTCGTTTTTTTCTCCATTTAGCAAGCTAATATCTTTAAAATTGTTCTTCTTTCAAAAATATTTTCTCAAAGGCTTATAAGTTACGTTTAAGATAAGCTTTCTTTTGTATAGATGAAAAGGCAATTTAATATAGCACTTTCTAAAGTGATCCACTATTTTTAAGTATTGTGTTGTTATCTAGTTAATTGATATAACCTTTAAACATTCCCAAGATCATTGGTGTATTGAATTAAACAGATATTGTTGAAAAAATTTATTCCATAAAATTCGATATGTCACTTGCAGAAAGTATTAAATTGGTCCATGTTCTTCATATGTAGATGTTCTTTATATCATCATGGATCAAATCATATGAAGACGTGATTTAGGAGTTGTTTACTAAGGATATATTACTAGCTGTTTATATGGAATTTCTACGATCTTGAAAAAATGTTGGGAATTTATTTCATTCTCTTTTTCAAGAAATAATCTACTCGTTAGTATTAAATAATTCAGAAGACATGTATTCAATCAATACCTCCTAGAAGATAGAGGGCCTCCGCACGGGTTACCATAAACAAAAAATTTTATCCTTTAGTAGTCCAAACGTAATTACATCTTTCGTATTTTTCTCCACTGCGCAGCCAAGTAGTCCAAACAAAGTGACATATTTCTTATTTTTTCTCCACTGCGCAAATTATGCCGTTACGTCGGACTACTAAATTGATCCAATCGGAGGCCTTCTCTTTTTTAAGAGGCGTTGATTCGATACAAGAAATAATCACACAAAAAAAAATTGAGGTGGTAACTACATCGGCAAGATTTCACAAGCTTTGATAATATTTTGCCTACCGCTTCTTTAAATTTTAATCTCTTATTGCTGAGTTAAATTTTTTTTTGCCTTTATGCAATGTGCTAATATAATTAAAGTTTTTATAATACAGTAGGGAACCGATTATCCTGAACGATCGGGACCATCGCTATTCCGGATAACTGATTTTTCCGGTTTTCTGAGTCGCTACAAAAAGCCGTTTTTTTTATTGTTAAACCCAACTAAAAAAAAAAGTTTTTGGAAGTAATCTTAAAAGGAAGAAAAAACGATGAAGTAATACACTAATGATTGTTTATAAAATGATGGTAAGGTAAACATATTTAAAAAAAAAATCCCAAAATCTTATGAGGAAAAAAAATTTCTTTTTTTAAAAAAGGCGAGAAAATTTATCGAATTTCGCTCCGGTTTTTTGGTTTTCCGGTTTTCTGATTTCCGGATAACGGGTTCCGTACTGTACATATATTTCTATGATACATACGTGAAGCGAGCTGTATCTCATTGTAATAAATTAGAATCTCGTGCTTTGAATTATGTGAGAATATTATATTATTTTGGAAACCCAATAAGATTACTCGATATTGTTAAAGACCAAATAAGAGGAAGGATCCCTTTTTAATTTATCATCGAAAAACAAGAGTTTTCTTTCTAGTAAAACAAAATAAATGAAGTCTTTAAAGCCATTCTCTGACGAAACAAAAAATATCTCCTTTATCTCATAATAAATGATTCTTAGCCAATATTTTATCTGTGACTTCAAATCCAGTAATTGAACAAATATGAAAAAAGAGGCTTAAAATGAAGTGTAAGAGCAATAAAAATTGCCGTAGTCTCAGATCGATTCAATTAATAAAGTATATTTTTAATATAACAACATGATTGACACATATGCCTTTTTTTCTATTTGATTACACCTTTCCTTTTAGCTGTTAGTTTAGTTTTCATGATCTTAGATATAATTAATAAATTATATTTTTTAATATATATTCTGGAACACTAAAATTTCAGATAAACAGTATAATATAAGGGAAGTGCCATACTTCAGACATGCATATATGGACATACCCTCCAATTTATGAGGATTTTGAAAATAATTCTTTCTAGTGGTAGCGAACCAAAGTAGAAATTTTTAAAGCAAATGGATCTCTCATAAAACTTTTATCAGAACTTAAGAATCTAGCCCTATGGCCTGCACTTTTATAAGTAATAGTGGACAAGTTACGCTAAAATTAATTTTTTTTAAATATTAAGNATATGTGTGTGTGTTTGGAGGGTATGTAATTAATAAATTATATTTTTTAATATGAAGCCAGGATTGACATGCATTCCTTTCTTCTTTTTTCTCTTTTATGAAGCTTTTTTTTCTGCTATTAGTTTAGTTTACCATGATCTTAGATATAATTAAAAATTATATTTTTTAATATGAAGCCAGGATTGACATGCATTCCTTTCTTCTTTTTACTATTTTGTGAGGCCTTCTTTTTCCTCTATTAGTTTAGTTTACCATGATCTCAGGTCCATTTAATAAAATTTATATATTAATATTGCGTCATGCTCAACACAAATGCCTTCATTCATTTAACAGCATATTTCAGGATATGCAATGATTTTTCTAAAACTCGCTCGCTTTTCAGTGCAAATGAATGCCGATTTGTATATAAATGTTCCGCTTCCTTGGATAGAATACTCCGCATTTTTTGTGAAGAGCATCCTACAGAATCTGTCCTGTTCCACGCGAATTATTTTTTATAATTATATCCGTTTTTATTTATTTATATAAAAAATATCTTTCCGAAGAAATTTCCGTGAAGCAAAAGACATCCGAATTCTTTTATTTAAAATACTTTTATGAAATTCATATGAGCGTCTCGAACTTTTCCTTTTGCTGATATTTGACATATTTTACTTACTCTAATGCCGCATTACTTATTTCGTTGCTTTTAAAATGCCTCTAATTACTTAAACTTGTTTTTTTAGTCATTATTAATCAAATTATAATTAAATTAAAGAATTTAGTTAATTTTTATTTAAAGCAAACATAACATATTTTATTCTTTTCTTATCGACTAATGTAACTGCTAACTTTATTCCAATTTTAATGCAGACTCATTAATTCACTGTCCCGCCTAATCGAAAATAAAAATCTATTTATAACTCTTTATTATTAATTTCTTACCACAAATATGTTTCAGTTACATGGTTATATTAATTAATTTTATATGGTTATATTAATTAATAACCTTGGATCTCTTCTCCATGCTCCTGTTGTCCGTTGGGAACAAATTCGCTCACTTTCAATTTCAAATTTGTGGGCCTCCCAGTCCTAACCGTTGAATATTATTCCCAATCGAAAATTCTTGACGTGGAGAATGCTGTCTTGATCTCTTTAAGGGATTTCTTTTCCTTTTTATTTTTATATTTAAATATGGCTATTTTTAATATACTAATGTTTGCTTAATAAACCAAATTTTACTTAAACGATTTTATTCATTTCTTTGAGACAAATTATCATTTTATTACATCCGAATTAAGATCTATATGTAACGGCCAAAAGTCAATGATGATACTTCAACTACCAATAAAATGTTAATAAAGATGATCACAGATCATCTTTATTAGCATTTATAAAGATGATCTTTATATCTTTATTAACATTTTATTGGTAGTTGAAGGTTTAACGTTTTATTGGTTTAGTTGGAATGTAAGCATCATCAAAGATGAAACTTACATTCCAACTAAATTATTATAAAATGAAACTTATATTTCAAATTTTTCAAAAATTTTAATTTATATGAAAAAAAAGCTTTAAAAAATGCATAATAGGTTTCGTTAATTTTTGCATGATCAGAAAAAAATAAATTTTTTGAGATAATTTCCATAACATATTACTATGAAAGTTAGTTCGTTAATTTTATCGAAAACCCATACGTTTAAAAAATTTGTTAATCAAATATATTAAACGTTGGTGATATAACAAAAAATACTTATTTTAAATTGTCCTTTTTTTAGCTCAGAGAGAACTTGCAGAATTATTGCTAGAGAGCTTTTAAACTGATTAAACACATTGGACATTTTTGGAAAAGGTCAAATATTTACATCTCAATATGCACATAAACTATATAACATGGTTTATTAATACTTTTGGTAATCAAAAATGCTGAGACGTCTCCCTATATTAACCTTTTCCTGTTTGGCACTCTCCAATCAGGCTAAATTTATAAATAGCTTTTTAGGGCAGTGTATGTATATATATAAATATATATATATATATATATATATATGGGTGATTCTTTTTAAATATGACAATTCGGACCAAAAAATTTCTTCAAATTTAAAGTCTTCAAAATAATCTAAATTTTTTTTTGTATACTTCTTTAGTTACACTTATTAATATCTTATAGACAGCAGTGTAGTTTATTGACATTTG